CTCTGAACACTTGCTTTACTTAGTGCAGTACCTAAAGTGGGATTTTATTTTCAGAATTATTTATTCCATCAACACAATATCCTGCTCTGCAGTTCACAGTCACTAGATTAAGGAAAGATCTCTGAAAAAGGTTTCACCTTATAGCTTAGGCAAAGTATTTTAAGAAAGACCTGCATCTTTTGTAAGTAAGACACAGAAAATATCTTTTCCAACCACATATAAATGTTCTTTCAACGAACCAGTGAGTCATTTGGATGTTTATATTTAACCATGTTCCCCTAATTTTTATTTTGAGAAAAAAATTAAAATCTCATAGAAGCTGAAGAAATAGTAAACACACACTTTTAAACTTCTGGCACAGGTATAGGTCTTTCACATCAAAGTAATACGGGTTTATTTAGAAAGCTTAAAACATTAAGAATTAAAAAAAAAACACTTCATCAATAGTTTTCCTACACAAAATGTGCTCACATACAGATTTCTCCCGCCAAATTTCTTTCATGCAAAATTCTTTTTTTTTTTCCCCTATGCATACCTTTTACAGATGTGTTATCAATTTGGAGCTTTTCCTTCTAGGTTCTTTCTATGAATAATTTTATTTTAAACATAATTGCCAATATGCTGTCTAAATAATTTGCACCCTGTTTTGTTTCATTGACATAATACAATTTTTACACATATCATGAGTTTTAATATTGTTGCAATAATCTATCAAATGGATATACCATAATTTTCCTATTTCTGGAAAAATAAACTGTTTCTAATTCTCATCTATAAAAATTGATCCTATAGTAACTATCTTTATTTATCGGAGGCAATGGTGGTTATAAACACAACTCCTACATTCAGATGACCTGAACTGGAATTCTTGCTTCACTGTTGACAAAATGTGTGTGCTTGGGCATTGCTATGTCACCCCTCTGACATAGTTAATTAATCTGTAAAATGGGAAAAATAATAGCTATAGGCTTGTTTGGTCATTAAAGGGTAATGCACTTGAGACATTTAGCAAAGTACTTGGCACATAATAAGCTACTATTGTTATTATATATGAAGTCTTTACTGTATTTCAGATTATTCATTGGCTAGGTCCCCGAAAGTAGAATTACCGGATCAAAGATGATGGCCATCTTAAAAACCTTTTAATTTCTGAAGGGATTGTATCAATTTATACCCACCAAGAATGTAACATTTTATTGTACCATTGCTATAAATATTGTTTTGAGTCAATTTTTTAATTTAGGAAGAAAATATTAATAACAGAAAGAGAAAGTTACCACGCTATTATTTAAATGTATAAATTCTGTAGTTACTAATTTTGAACCTATTTTCAGTTTCTTGCAACAGTCTTTCTTTTATGAATTAATAGCACTTTATTTCCTCTTAGCATTATTGAATTCTATGTGTCATTTTAAAATTATTTATTTTCTAATAAATGTATTATACTCTTGCTTTGTTGAACATATAACTAAATTGAAATCTATTATTTGGAATTAGTATCCCAAAGAGTTAAAATATACACTTACTGTAAGAACAGCAGCAATCTTCTTGGCTACGGATGGGGTGATTTGAAAAGCATGAGAAAACTGCCAGCCTTCTAGATCAAAGATAGCCTTGATACCATTCCGTTGCGTTTCTACCTCCTGTACAATAAGCTCGGATGTGATTAGACTTACGCGAAAAACATCATAAGCTGTGAAAACTTTGGGGTCCCATTGTGCTAAAAAAAATTTTAAAAATAGCATATCTCAGCATAGTGTAAGGATTCAGGAAGATTTACAAAGGGAAACTAATTCTTTTGAGACTTAAAATGTCAGTAGAAATAAAAACATGTACAAAGAGCGTGAATTGAATAATGGATCAATTTGGTAGTCCAAAAACATGTTCCTGCTATTTCCTCTATCCTCAAATCCCTAGGGAAAAACAGATAAGGGCATGGGGGAGAAGAGAATGAATGCAGGCTGGATTTGATTGCCAGATGAAGCTATAGCCCAAAACATTCAGGAGAGGGTTGTGGCTAAAGAGGAAAATGTCCCCAGGTATGCTCCCAGCTCGGAGGTGTTGGAAATGGGAAAAGCAAGGGCTTTTGGATGATAAAGGATTATAAAGAGTAACTAAGGTCCCTATAGTAACCGAAGAGGTTGCTAAGGGAAATGGATGAAGAGCAGACTGGCAGGCTGATGTATCAGACACCCCTCGGTGGCAACAGCACATAGCTGTCATGTCTGCACAGGCCAGAACAGTAAGTGTGGGCTTTGGAAAAGAGCCAGGGAAGCACTCTGGTAGCTGCCTACACCCAGGGGAAACAACAAAGCATTACTGACATTCCTGTCCTCTCCCCTCCCCCACCATCCCTGGGCAGGCCAGGGCAAGCAGAAAGGACAGTAATGGACAGGCAAACAGGTGATCTTAAAAGAAGATACACATTCACTAAGTATTATAACATTTTTAAAAATACACACAAAGAAGAGGGGAACCACACTCAATAGACAAAGACATTAAAACCTAAGGAAACAGTTAATAAAGCAAGAGACATTAAAAAGAAGCAAGATAGTTTCAGTGAGGGAATAAAAGGGTAATGTAGGCTATTATTATAAGAACAGGTTATTATTTAAAAGAATCAGTTGAGATCTTGGAAATAAAAAGATGATAATTCAAGTAAATCTCAGTTGATGGGACAAATAGCAGAAAAGACACAGCCAATGAGTGCATAATGGTTTGGAATACCAAACTGAAAAGAGCCAGCAATTGATATGTATGCATCAAAAGACTCATGCAGCTAGAGACATGCAGCTAGATCCAGAGTTTTGACATCCAACTAATTAGAGTTCTGGAAGGAAGTAATGCAGGGAATAGGGAAGAGGGGAAAGAGGAATAACAGTAGAGAAAAATGTTCCAAAGCTGAAAAAAATGCAAGTCTTCATACTGAAGGTTCCAAGGAGCGCCTAAGGAGACAAATGAGAAAGGGGAAAGAAAAGATTCATGATTAAGTAATGGTAAAGTTTCAAAATACCAAAGTTTCTGGCTTGGGCAACTGGGTAGAATGGTGGTACCATTTATTGAGAGAGGAAACAGTGAAAGAGAAATGTTTTGGGAGGAAAAAATCGTAAGTAGTTTTGGACACGTAAAAATGGTGAATGAGAGACATCCAACTGGAGACAGTTGGAATAGGGAGCTGCTCCTACAGATCCCTGGGGACAGGAGATGGTGGGGTGAAGACAGAAATCTGAGAGTTGTTTGTACTTGCATGGCAGCCTGCAACAGGGATTATCTTAGGTCTACACAGAAAGTAGCATAAGAAGAGGAAGTGCCCTAAAGAATTTCAGAATTGAAAAGGCGGTAGAACAGGTGGTGCCAGTAAAGGAGACTCAGAAGGAGCAGCCAGTTTAAGTCAGGAAAACATCAGGAGAATGTAGCATTAGAAAAGCCAAGGGAAGAGGATATCTCAAGAAAGAGGAAGTGGTTTGCTGTGTTGAGAGATCAAGTAAAACAGAACTAAACATGTCCACTAGATTTGGTGAAAAGAAGGTCACTGATGATTTGTTAAGGCCATTTCAGCACAGAGGTGAAAGTGAAACGAGGCCAGGGTGGATTGAGAGGAATTGTGAAAAACTGTGAAAATATGGATGGTGAACATCACTAATTTGAGATGTTTGGCTGAGAATGAGGAGTAGGGAGATGGCTGGGGTGGAGGTTGGAGGATCTTGTGGGATTGAGAAGGAGTTTTTGTTTTGTTTTGGATGGCTGACCCTTAATAGATTTAAATGTTGATAGGGAGTGTCTTCTAGCAAGGAAAAAATCGAAGATAGAAAAGAGACAATCAGAAGTATTCCCAGAAAGGCATAATGGGATTGCCCTTTGCTTTTTAAGAGCCTCAGCTGCCTGGTAAGAATTTGAGTAATCAATTCATGGATAACCCAGCTCAAATATACTATACTACTTCAGACATTGGCAGAAAAGCTAAAATGGTGAAAAATACAAGCAGAATGATTGAAAGTCTGCCGTCAAGAAAATAGTTACTGGCCTAAATTTCCAAGCTCACCAACATAGTTGTCTAGACCTGTGCTGTCCAATGGGGTAGCCATTAGCCATGTGTGGCTATTTAAATTTAAACTAATTAACATTAAATGAAATTAAAAATTCAATTTCTTAGTTGCAAAAGCCACATTTCAAGTGCTCAATAGCCACATGTGACTAGTGGCTACTGTAGAACAATTTCATCATCATAGAAAATTCTATTGGATAGGGCTGGTCTAGACTCTAAGCTCCCTTAAGGCAAAAGGAAAATATGACTTAACTTCTTCATTCCTTTTCCAGCATCTATTTAATATTTATTGAGTGCTTATTATATATCAAGTAATGTTCTAATTATATTTCATGTGTATTACAGGATTTAATGCTCACAGGAACCCCGTAAGATAGGTTTTTACTATGCCTGTTTGACAGAGAAAATGGGATTACGGGTACATAGCTGCCCACGTAGCTAGAACATAGCAGAGCTGCAGTTCCAACCTGGGCAATGTGCTGTAGAACTTTAACCCTAAGAACTAAGCCATAGTCAAAACTTAATACTCACTGTTAAATTTTATTTTTGCTGCGACAGTATAATAGTTTCAAAAGGCATAAAATTATATCTGGCTGGTAGGCTAATAGTGGCAAAAACTGAGTTTCACCTTGTGTTGCCTGATGGACTGGAGAAAAAAGGTTGTGTGCATTTTCACTGCAGAGATGGTACCTAGGGAAAGGTGGTTATGCTAATGTTCTACCCAAAACCTCTACCACAGATTTCCTTTTTTAGTTTCTCCCATTAATTCAATTACATTTAGGAAATTTATAAATCTTTATCCTATCCTTTCCTTTTACTCCTAAACCTCTTCTGAGTTTTCCCTTTGCACCCTAGAATAAGATCTTATTCTACATAACACACAGGAAATTTGCTGCATGCCCTTCTGTTCTGACCATCACTAACTTATGTGTTTTCTGTTTTTGTTTTTTTTAAGATTTTATTTATTTGACAGAGAGCGCACAAGCAGGGGGAGCAGCAGGCAGAGGGAGAGGGAGAAGCAGGCTCCCTGCAGAGCAAGGAGCTGGATATGGGGCCTGATCCCAGGACCCTGGGATCATGACCTGAGCTGAAGGCAAATGCTTAACCGACTGAGCCACCCAGGGACCGCCCCAACCAACATGTTTTCTTGATTTTAAAAACAGTATACTTAAATGTTAATGTACCATAAGAAACCCTCTCACTAAGCAATAGAAGACAATTGATGCAGTGTTAAGGTATGTATGTATGTATTTATTTATTTATTCATAAAGCTTTTATTTTTAAATAATCTCTATACCCAACGTGGGGCTCAAACTCACAACCCCGAGATCAAGAGTCGCACGTTCCACTGACTGAGCCATCCAGATGCCCCCAGTGTTAAGGTATTTATGATCAAAGTAGCACATTAGTTTTTTCACTATGAAGATGTCATTTTTACTTCTTAACTTGCCCCAGGTAATTTATGCACAAATTTGAAAAAACTCCAGCCAGGCAGTACAGAGCCAGGACACTTGCAGAAAGAGCCCCCTGAAGGTTTCAGTTTTATGTTCCTGGGACCTTTGAGTAGCATTGCCAGATAAAATATAAGACTCCCTGTTAAAGCTGAATTTCAGATAAAAAACAAATAATTTTTTAGTATGTATGGAGCATACTGATACTAAAAAATTATATCCTGTTTATCTGAAATTCAAATTCAAACTGGACATCCCATATTTTCATACACTCTATGGTTACTTGCTACATAAAACATAGATAATATCGTCACTCTGGCAACTCTACCTCTAAAGAACTTGGGGAACTACATTCATCATCCTATAACACTGGTGGGGCAACAAAAGGACAGGGCAGACATTGTGACATCTGTTTTATGGACAGTGACTTCACGACTGACCCAATTGTATCTGACACATAAGCAGGAGCAAACACCCGGAATCATTCTCCTCGGTCTTCTGATACCCTAAAGAATTACATGCAGTGCCTTCTTACAAGATCATAAACAGTTGAGTTACAAGCAGGTATCTTATCTATAATCAGGTAGAAAAAGCAAATCTATAAAGAGGCCACGAGAGGATGCTGGGAGCAGTGTGAGTCCTTCTTCATTACATGCCATTTTTAATCACACACAGGTCTAAGGAAGGGGCAGTCACACTACAGGAATACTAGGAAGGCCTAACGGTGAAAAGGGGAAGCTATGACAAGAGGGGTATGTGGAATACAGTGTCTTCAACGCTACTCAGGGATGCCGCTTTCCCACTGGACCTTCCCCTGCCCCAGAGAATGAGTCCCTGGCTCCTCAGCCTCGGGTGTTATCCAACTAGCCATTCACTCACTCCAGAAATATTTAATACATACCTACCATATACTAGGTCCTGGTTTCAGTGTTAGGATACAGTGAACAGAACAGACAAAATCCATGCTCTCGTGGAGCTTGTGTTATTACTGTTCAGAATTCTTATTTGGATTTCCTACTAAGCATTTTCTAAACACTTTACCTTGATCTTTTTCACCTTTCCCCCCATATTTCTCTACTCTGCTTTCTTTCTCTCTTATTTTATACAGCTGACTGTGTGGAAGAACGGAAGCAAGCTTTTTGTTGGTTTCTAATTTTCTCACAGTTGCCAGTTTTATTATATTTGAGGGACATTACAATCTAAAGTAAACCTAAGTTAAAGCCTGAAAAGCAAAATTCTTAAATATGGACTCATAAAGCTTTCAATATGGCAGCCAAGAAAAAGAAAGAAAAAGAAAAGCAGTGCTGTATATGACTTACCGATTCTGTAAATAAGAACTTTGCTGCCAGTGGGATCTCTGGCTCTCAGGACTCCGAGGTAACCAGCCTTCAGAAGTCCCAGAATACTTCTAGGGCACAGATCTGCACTTATTTCTGGACATTCTGCTCTCCACTTATAATAGTTTTTCAGTAACTGAAAAATAAAATAAAAATTGACTACAGATGTCATACATGGTAAGCACCTTGTAAAAACGGAAGCAAAGCCTTGGCATTATGTACGGCCCTTACCATCCATTATGTTCAGGATTTTAATCTGGGGTATTTTTTTTTTCATTGTAAAAATTTAAGTTCCCGTCATCAAGCATTGCAGGTGATAAGACTTCATCACAAATTCAAAGTTGAGTAATTTTCATTTGTCTCCTATGGTTGGTAGACTCCAAAGATAGCTACCAATAATACCTCCCCTCCTGGTAGACACATGCCATTTGTCCCCTTACAGGTGGAATCCAGTTGATTCCTCCCCCCAGAATCTGGGCCAGCCTTACATTTTGCTTTGGCAGAAGTGACACTGTGCCTTACATTTTGCTTTGGCAGAAGTGACACTGTGCTAGTTTAGGAAGGCTGGGACTTTCTACATTTGCTTTTGGGGACCCAGAAACCACATCAGAATAAGATTACTAAGTCTATGTGGAAAGAGGCACTAGACAACTAGAGCCCATCTTGGTCTGGTCTCAGCCAAGTTCCCATGTGATGCAATGTGGATCACAGATGAATCATCCCCACTCAGCCCTTGCCCAACTGAGAGAATCACAGACAAATAAATAGTTGTGGTTTAAGCCACTAAATTTGGGGGTGACTTGTTACTCAGCAATAGCTAACTGAAACATCTACTGTTAGTCCCTTCTGAAATAAGGAAAAATAGAAATCAAATGAATTAGCTGTACAAATATTTTTGGAGCATCTACATTGTTCTACACACTGGATAGGCACTTGAGTTATAGCCATGAACAAAATAAAATGCCTGCGCTCATTGGGGCTGACCTGCTGGTGACAACTGGATCATACATGCCATGCTTTGTAGTGAAAAGTTAAATTCCCAGGCTGCTTCACCAGAAAAACCTTGACTCTACCACATATCACCTGTGTGATCTTGGGTAGTTGTCAACGTCTAGTGCGTTGGGGTCCCTGGGTAAGGGTCTACGAAATCACCAGGACACAGGGGATGCAGAGCAAAGGCAGCACTTGCAACTGCATACTGCCGTTTATTACTCACACAGCTATATACTCGCAGTGATCAGATAAACATAACAATGTATACTTAAAGTATCAAGCCAACATCCATGAAGAAAGATACACAAAATTCACTAAGAACAAAATACATCCTGTTTATGCTTGCAGAATAAAGAATTCTCTTAGCCACCCTTCCTTTGGAGACAACATGTTCTTTGTCTTTAGAAAGAACACTTCTAATTAGAAAGATACACTTTAAGCGAGGCAAGAGCCACTTCCTGCTGATCCAGGCATTTAGAACTTGCAACATGAGATAAGGGGAAGAGAACATTTTCTCCTCCTGGCCCAGGCCTGCCTGGCCGTCCTTAACCTCAGTGCAGTCCTCAAATGATCTGGGCCTGCAAGGGGCTTACAAGCCTATACCATCTCAGGTAGTTATTTAACTCCTTTGTGACTTGTTTCTTCCATATCTGCTTGCAGGATTAAACGTAAAGCATACATGGACATAATGAGTGGTAGTTACCCCTGCTATTGTTGTAATAGGAAAGTTATTTGGATTTATTGCTCATCTGAGTATCTTAGTGCAGGTTTATGTTAAAGATAACTAGAATTTTTTGGTTTCATTTTCTTTCCTACAAAAAAGAGCTAAATCAAAGATATAAAGGAACATCTCTATACCATTGCTATACTTTCTACTAATAGAAAAACAATAAAAATCAGCTTTGTTTATAGTGGTATGTATTCTGAGCAGAACAGTAAGCCCAGATAGTAGGTCTTGGTAAAGTATGGTCTGAAGGAATCCTATTTTCTTTTCATTTTAAAAGAACCACCAATAATGGTTACTCTGCATTTACAAGAAATACGGATATTGCCAGTATATTGTGGAGAATACTAAAATCAATGCATTTAAAGTTTATTATGGTTTAATTTTCCTCTTCACGATGTTTAGCATTCTCAATTTTTGTAAAATGACAATATGTTTGGGTTTTGTTGTTTTGTTTTAAAGATTTAATTATCTTGAGAGAGAGAGAGCACAAGAGGGAGGGGCAGAGGGAGAAGGAAGGAGAATCTCAAGCAAACTCCACGCTCAGCGTGGAGCCTGAGGGAAGGCTCGATCTCACGACCGTGAGATCAAGACCTGAGCTGAAACCAAGTGTCGGAGGCTTAACCATCTGCACCACCTGGGCACCCCAACAATAAGTCTGTTTTGAGTTTAAAGAGGTGGGAAATGGAAGTTTAGATGAAAGGAAGGGACGAATTTCATATTTGAGAGTCACTGGAATAAACATGACAGGTGTGATCACAAAGTAGGGATGACCTGGAAGAGAGAGAACAAATACAAATTTAAAAGCCAAGTAGAGGGTGAAATTCCAAACCTGGAGCAACGTTAATGGCTGGCAAGGGCTGGAGAAAGAGAAAAGCTGGCTGGACTGGAGGAGCCTTGACACCATGGTGCACAGAAGGGAGGAAAAAATTATGTATGTCTCCTGCCCCTCTCTCCTCTCTCTCTCTCCCTGATGTTGTCTTTCTAACTTTCTCTATCTCTGTCTTTCTCCCTCTCATTTCTTCATTTAATAAACTTTTCTGAACTCTTTTAAAAAAGAGAATGTTGCCATGGGCTGGATAAAACTGCGAGGTAGGAAAGAAAAAAGTCCCTAAATTAGCCAACAAAGAAATAACTGGTGACCTAAATAGCAATTTCCAAAAGCAGAAAGAACAAAAGGTACATTGTAGATTCTGATATATTCATTCTACTCTTTTGAGTTTCTCTTCCTCCTCCTGTCTTAGAGGGCATCAGAATAAGTGTTAAAAGAATGTTACAGTGCTCATTACTTTGATAGCTCCCTCAGATACAAAAATAGTCCTTTTAATTCTGTTTCAAGCAAAACGCTAGAAGCAGCATATTAGCTCCTATATAAAAATAACGATTTTAATTTCCCATGGAATCATAGAAATTGTAGCTTCATTAAAAGGGATCTTTAGGTAACAGGCAGGGTCCTCAGCTTATTCATCTCTGCAGAATGCTGGGCACCCAGGAGATAGGTACAAGTGTTGAATGAAAGAATAAATTAATGCATGAATAAACCAGCCGAATTCACATACTTGAAAAGCTGACTTTTTCATAAAAGCGTGCAAATCACTCTCCTGCCTTTGACATTTAACTTTTGCAAATTGAGTATCTAAACCTGGATATTTGAGCATTACTTTTCCTCTGACAAATAAATTCAAAACTCGGCTGACATAAATAAGTTATGTAAATAACACAAACTGCTA